AAGAGGCAACCAAAGGCATGGGTGAAAAGCCCTCCTTCCCCCACTATATATAGGAGGGCCAAGGGGGGGGGGGGGCGCCGGCCCTAGGAGATCCAATCTCCTAGGGGGGCGGCGGCCAGGGAGGTTTCCCTCCCCCCCCAAGGCACCTAGGGGTGCCTTCCACTAGTGGGACTCTTCCCCTTTCAAAACCCTAGGCGCATGGGCCCCTTGGGGCTGGTGCCCTTGGCCCATGTAGGCCAAGGCGCACCCCTACAGCCCATGTGCCCCCCCGGGACAGGTGGACCCACCCGGTGGACCCCCGGGACCCTTCCGGTAGTCCCGGTACAATATCGATGACCCCGAAACTTGTCCCGATGGCCGAAACAGGATTTCCTATATATAAATCTTTACCTCCGGACCATTCCGGAACTCCTCGTGACGTCCGGGATCTCATCCGGTACTCCGAACAACATTCGATAACCACATACAAACTTCCTTTATAACCCTAGCGTCATCGAACCTTAAGTGTGTAGACCCTACGGGTTCGGGAGACAAGCAGACATGACCGAGACGTTCTCCGGTCAATAACCAACAGCGGGATCTGGATACCCATGTTGGCTCCCACATGCTCCACGATGATCTCATTGGATGAACCACAATGTCAAGGACTTAATCAATCCCGTATACAATTCCCTTTGTCTATCGGTACGACACTTGCCCGAGATTCGATCGTCGGTATCCCGATACCTTGTTCAATCTCGTTACCGGCAAGTCTCTTTACTCGTTCCGTAACACATCATCCCGTGATCAACTCCTTGATCACATTGTGCACATTATGATGATGTCCTACCGAGTGGGCCCAGAGATACCTCTCCGTTTACACAGAGTGACAAATCCCAGTCTCGATTCGTGCCAACCCAACAGACACTTTAGGAGATACCTGTAGTGTACCTTTATAGCCACCCAGTTACGTTGTGACGTTTGGCACACCCAAAGCACTCCTACGGTATCCGGGAGTTGCACAATCTCATGGTCTAAGGAAATGATACTTGACATTAGAAAAGCTTTAGCATACGAACTACATGATCTTGTGCTAGGCTTAGGATTGGGTCTTGTCCATCACATCATTCTCCTAATGATGTGATCCCGTTATCAACGACATCCAATGTCCATGGTCAGAAAACCGTAACCATCTATTGATCAACGAGCTAGTCAACTAGAGGCTTACTAGGGACATGGTGTTGTTTATGTATCCACACATGTATCTGAGTTTCCTATCAATACAATTATAGCATGGATAATAAATGATTATCATGCACAAGAAAATATAATAATAATCAATTTATTATTGCCTCTAGGGCATATTTCCAACACTTAGATATGTTACTACCTATATAGTGGGTAGTAACATGTGTATATTATCATGCACCACTTTATCAACTTTGTAGAGTCATTTTGCATTAGGAACCGCTATGTGATGGTAACATATTATGTCACTCTATTTGTCCCTCTCCTCATTAGTTACTTGCGACATTACATTTTTGCTTATTTGGTATGCATGTTACTATCTATATTACTCTCACTATGACTAGCCTGAATGTGAATGTTTTTTGGCCATTTATTGGTGACACGTGTGTGCATTACAATTAACGCATTGATAAACACATTTTTTGAAAAAGTGAGTGCATTAGTTGAGTAATTTTTGTAAACTATAAAAATTATTCCATCACTCCTCATCTATTTCGGTTGGTAAGATTTTTTTAATTGACCCTATAAACCAGGAGAGAGGTTGTATATGATAAGGGAGGGAGTAAGGACATCTCCAAAAGGGCCCTCAAACATCTTGCAAGCATTAGTCGGATGCAGTTTGCCATCCAACGTAGTCTCGCATCGATTTGTCGGCATGTTTAGACATCTTTTTTCCCACAAATCGGGAAAAAAATATAAAGATTCTTTACATGAGTCTGGATATCTTTCTGGTCAATCAAAAGTCATCATATATGCCTCCTTTTGTCTGGGTGGCGGAAGGCCGCTGCTAATTTCTTGCTGTTTGACGAAAGCTGCTACCCGGAAGCACTAAGTGTCTGTTTGTAACCTGTTTGGCAGAAGCCACTAAATAGCTTACTTTATTTGGCGGAAGGCACTTAATTAAGTGCTTCCTTTGCTGGAAGGCAAGTATATTTTAGCATATTAATTTGTCTTAATACGAGGTGTTTGGCAGAAGACTATTTTTTCAAGTCAAATGGAGCCGGGCATTTTGGCTAGCCTTGGATGGCCATCTTTTATATCAGTGTCAATATGATGTTTTTCATAGCGCCTACAACCAGGCTGCTATGCTCGACATGGTAGCGGCATGATTCATGGCGCCGTGCCTGCGCCATCATGGAACATTGGGCCTAGGTTACATACTCCCTCTATCCATCACCTAATGTGTTTTTCGAGCCTAACTTTCATCACACGTTAGAGCAATAATATATGGCATGCAAGTTACACAAAGCGTACCATCAAATTTGTATGTGAAAGGTGCTTCCAATGATATAATTTTTACATTGTACATCTCATATACTATTAATTTTATCAATAGTCAAATGCAATCTCGAAAAATTTATTAGGCCCTATATATATGGATGGACGGAGTACCATATGTAGTGCCATGTGTGGGGTGGTGTGCTTCACAACATATCGCCACTAGCTAGCGCTATACTTCATAATACTTCAGACCATAGTGTCCTAATTGGTGGCGCTATACTCAGATAAGTTTGGCAAAAAAAATTGACAGGTTCATAAATTAAAAAAATCACAATTAGAACAAGTTCACAAGAAGTCCATAATTACGACAAATTCACATCAAGTCCACAATTACGACAAGACAAGTTCACATCATGTTTACAAAATAGAAGCTAACTAAAGTGACAAGTTCATCAAGTCCACAATTACGACAAGTTCACAAGTAGAAGCTAACTAAAGTGACAAGTTCAACTAGATCAACAAGTTCACAAATACATCTACTTCTTTCGCTTGCCTGCCTCACATCCTTCTTCCTCTCGGAATTAATTATCTGTTTGCATTTCGTGCGTTATTTTGTCGTGTCTATGGAGTATGGACAGGAACTTGACCTCGATAGGTATAAACATAGAAGGCACCGGGATTAAGGCAGCTAATTAAGGAAGGGAGGGTCACTCATGAAACAAAACTGAATTTGAGAGCTGCCGTTTCGCAGTTTTCAAACTCAAAAACTGTCAAGTTCATGGGATTCAAGTAGAGTTAATTGCACGCAGTATTAACTTGGCCATTGCGTGCCCACTACATACATAGTTTCAGTGATTAGCGTAGTTCAGCGCCTTGCACTTGTGTACTAGGCACTGGACAGCTTACCCATGAGACAGAGAATATGCTAATACTAATTTGAACTAAAACCACGATCGACAAGAATTATGGAGCGGAGGGAGTAGTAAGTTCCCAAAATCACCAGCATGACACAAGACATGCCGAAAATGAACTTAATATGCAGGGTTAGTTCCACGCCAACTAATCTGTGAAGAAGAGCAGGTAAACATGATAATCCTGATTAACGGTTATATATAGGCGTGCTGCTCTTGCTCTTGCTCTTGCTCTTGCTCTTGTCTAGAATGTAGAATTGCAGTTCTTCTCCTTCTTCCAAGTGCAAGGAGTTGATATGGGTGGTGTGTTCTTTATAGTGCGATCGATTGTTTTCTCTCTGCTGTGTTGGATGTGGGTGAGGAAAGCGGACATGCTCTGCTCCTGCTGTTTTGCTGTTTGCCAACACACATTGTACTACTGTATGTTTTCTGTCTACCGTCTTTCGGTGTTAATGCGTCTCACACTGAATGTCTTGACCCTTTGATTTGGGGGTACAGGCTGAGACTGAATCGCTTTTTATCTACTGTCTCTCTGGTGTCCTGAAATAGATGCAGTCAAGGGAGAAAGAAAGGTGCTGTTTCTTTTCGCAGAGATTGCTTTGCAAGGTGAATTAGCTTCGTTCCACCCAAAATTATTCATATTAGTATGCCCTTTGCATGGATGAGGGTTGCACCGCTAGTTCGCAGCCGTTGCCAATTTAGTTTCTGATGTGAGTTTCTCTTTGCTCACTGTTACTCCCTCCGTTCGAAATTACTTGTCTCGGAAATGGATGTATCTAGAACTAAAATACATCTAGATACATCCATTTCTACGACAAGTAATTCCGAACGGAGGGAGTACGTGGAATACATGCCCAAAATGAACTTACACCTGCCACTATCAATCACTCATGACTATAATTCATTCTAAGCGACAATTAAAAACAGAACAAGTCCAAATGCTCACAGGCTTTCAGTGATTAAACTTGTCTGGTTAAGTGGGAGCAAATTCACTAAATTTAGTCAGTTACAAACGGAATACTACTTGACTAGTTAAAGTTTCGAGTTCTCAAAGACAAAACATAGCATCACCGAAAGCAAATAAAACATCATACACTCTTCCTGCTTCGTCGTCGTAAAAGATCAGATCGGCGTGTCAGGTTGCAACAACAGAAAATACACATATAGGCAGCTTTCACTCACGGTCTCCTTCCATACAAGAACCGACGGCTCCATGCCAAGAAACGAGGTTCCTACCAAACCTAGAACAAGCCTTGGGCCCAGCAGCAGCGAAAAGATTAACCCAAAAATCAGTAATACACACAACACAACACAAGTGCCAAACACCACCATTTTTTCTGGATTCCATAGAGGCCAGCGACCCTGGATAGCGCGAGGAGCTGCTAGTCTTTTACATGTTTTGGTTCAGGTAGGTGTTAGTCGCAACCAGACGAGCACAGCAGAAACACAACGCACGGTTGTTAGTTTTTATGCCTGCCAAAAAACCTTATAGATACAAAAAGATCGGAGTCCTCCCACACCAGCCGTCGACAGGCATTTCACAGTTCGGTATGATTGCGTAAGGATAAACTATAGGAGCTAGTTTTATTACCAGGTTGGACCCCAGGGCGCCTTGAGAGAGGGTCGCTGTGAGTAGGTACCTCACCCTCTATGGTTGGATGACAGCAAGCCCATTTGTTCAGTGAGATTTGCCAAGTTCTCGGTCCTGGTCCATCCATTCTCCTCTTGCGCTTCCCGTGTGTCCAGCAGACCTGAATCGACCTCGTCATTGTCGATGGAGAGAGGGCTGGCACAAAGGAACTGCTCCCAGAAGGAATCAATTATTCCCGGAAGCTTCTGGGTGTCATCGGTCTCATCAGTGTCGATGGGGTCCATGGGAACAGAGTCATCACTGCCTTCATCAGGTAGGGGGAATATACACTCAGGACCAGGCATTGTGAAGTTCTCTACAGGAATATTAATTGCATCCTCCGTTATGAGATCATGCAGATCTGGGAATCCTGGAATACTGATATCACTTAAACCTGGCGTCATAGCCTTTGGCACCGAAGGCACAGCACTCATGTTGGGAAGTTGTGTCGATGAGTTGGTGTCCAGAACTGGACGCTGCATCTCAGGGGGGCTTGACGATGAACAAATTGCTGAAAGCCCAGAGCTCGTGGGCATATATGGCATGCCCGAGTTGCCTGGGACCTCTGCAAGGGTGACTGCAGAATTCCGGGTTGATGAAGAGCTGTCAAAAGTTTGAGCACTTGGCATACAGTTCTCCAGTAGCAAATTATCTGAATTGGCCATGGATTCAAATCTGTGTGGGGAGGTATCCTGCTGCAGGATCTTCCTCAGCATTGCTTTGGCTGCTTCGTTGATCATAGGCTGATACTTGATTATCTGGCCATCCAACAATGCACTTTCGGAGTTCAGGCCATCATCTTGCTTAGGTAGCCTCCTTTTCTTGTTCGCAGCTACTATTCTCCGTTTGCTGTTTTCATTCTGCTGTACAAACTGTGCTAGGAAGCCAGGACTCTGCATTGCTTTAGCCAGGAAAGACATCATTTGCTGCTGTCGTTGCTCCATTCCGTGAAGACGCTTGCCCAAAGTCTGCAGCTGATGGTCAGTGGTCTGCTGTTGCTGTCTCAGCCTGACAAGCTCCTGCATTAGAACATTTTTATCCCTCTTTAGCATCTCAATCTCTTCCTCCATCCCAAACTTCCCCACCTCTACACAAGAAGGCATTGGAGCATTCTGCAACTGGGGTTGCTGCTGCTGCTGCTGCTGCTGGGGTTGCTGCTGTTGCACTTGCACTTGGTTGTTTGCATGCGATGGTTTCCTTCTGTTGATGGTCTTCAGTAGATGTTTTTGTCCTCTCAAAAAACCCTCATTTGCAAATTCCCACTTGTCTGGATCAACTTTTCTGAATCCCTGTTTCCAAAAGCAGCAATGCGATTATTAGAAAGGGGCTAATGTGCTTTGAATGGTCGGCAACTTTGTAGCACGAAAAGGGGAAATAGAGAACAATCACACTAGCAATGCAACCCAAACAATCCTAACAGTCTATGACTCACCTAAAAGAGTCTGCAACTCAAGGAAACAGCTAATTGACCACAATACAGAAGGGCATGAATTTACCACAGGTTGCATTACTAGTCATTTGTGTAAGAATTAAATAGTTAAAAATGATAACAGGCTCAGGTGAACTGAAGATAAGCAAATATCCAACTATATAGTAGTAGTCAGTAAGTCCTAATATCCCGTTATCCAAGAGCCCCGCAATTTGCTGCTGTTATTAGATTTTTTGCAAATGTAAATTCAACTTAGAGATGACCCAGGTCAATGACTGGGAATCGCATATGCATTCACCAGTGAAGGAGTGTAACCACATCCAGATAAACAAGCATCAGAATGGTATGGAACGGCAGACGACCAGGTACAGACAGTCTATCTGGAACAAATAATTCTTCACAAGGTATAAACGGTAATCGCTTTAAACTGAGGTGATGGTTCAGAAAGCAAACAAAAAAACAACAGGCAAAGGAACAAATCCAGTGTATTGTGTACTGCTACTTTCTGAATAATTTCTAAAAGTGCGTGTGAAAAGTGTATGTGATTGTAACAAGTTGTGCTAACAAGCATGTCGTCAGATCTGATAACATACCTCGTAATTCCCAATGCAAATATCAATTCATAAAGCGTGCTGTTTCATGCTTTATCCCAAGCTCAAGAAGTTGGGGAGATTGCACAACGGTATTTAATGAGATGATCATATGCATGCGAGGTTTAGTTAGAATTTATTATCAAATGCTAGGGATCACTTTAAAGGCAATCATAATGTTACTGTGTGAGGGAACTGTTTCCAGGCATCTGAGCTTGGGCAGCACCTGAGAAGTACGTACTTCTTTAGATGCCACGAAGGGATTATATTGGTTCTCAAGCAGAACATATCTATTCGCAGCACAAGAAGCATACTTGACCAAACTGCGACCACGGTAAGTTAAAATTAAAACCTTACAAATCAAATCTAAGAATTAAAAGTACAACACGCACTGGGATCAAACTGTGATGTATGTAATATTCTAGCACAAGAAGCATATTAAACTATTCCAAAACAGAGTTATGGCAATTTCAAGAAATAGGCCATGATGTACAGAAAATGGGGAGGGAGGCTAGCCAGATCTATAAGCTTAATTATGCCAACTGGTCGTACACCTTTGGCCAGAAATCAAAGCAACTGATGGTTCAAAATTTCAAGTACACTTGCAGCACATGCTAACATGCCTAAACATTGGAGACTACAAACTAAACGAAGCTACGTTTTAAACAAGAAGGGTTTATTGGTAGGACTGGTTCAATTTCACATACAGCAAGAAACCCAAGACTCCAGAAAAGGGCCACAATACTATATGCAAGACAACATATGCATTTGCATGTGAGGTTTTGTTAAAATTTATTATCAAATGCTTGGGGTCACTTTAAAGGCAATCACAATGTAATTGTGTGAGAAAACTGTTTCCAGGCATCTGAGCTTGGGCAGCACCTGAGAAGTAGTACTTCTTAGATGTCACAAAGGGACCAAACTGGCTCTGGAGTATACATTCGCAGCATTTTGTCAATTATAATATTATTTTTTAAAGTTAAAATAAAATCTTACAAATTAATCGAAGACTTAAAGGTATGACACACACTGGGACCAAACTGTGATGTATCTAATATTCTAGCACAAGAAGCAAATTAAACTATTCGGAAACAGAGTTAAGGCGGTTTCAAGAAATAGGCCATGATGTACAGAAAATGGGGAGGGAAGCTTAGCCAGATCTATGCGTTTATTTATGCCAACTGGTGGTGCTCCTTTGGCCAGAAATCAAAGCTCTCGACGGTTCAAGCTTTCAGAGTGGTCAAGTACACTTGCAGCACATGGTCACATGCCTAAACATCGGATTCTACAAACTAAACACAACTAAGCTATGTTTTAAACCAAGAAGGGTTTATTGGCAGGATGGGTTCAATTTCACATACAAATCCCAAGACTACAGTAAATGGCTGCAATATTATATGCAAGAGCATGAAGGTATCCATGATTTCAGTACCATCAAGTAGACCTCTGTCTAAGAAATTACCAACATATGCGTTTTCGTCTTGCTTAAAACAAGCAACCTGTCGCCAGCTGACACACTCACATGGCAACAGTATTAAACCTGACTAACTCTATGTTCTTCAAGTTAATAAGAAAGCAGTATTCCAGAGATAGAGTTTCATCGGTGCCCTACACTTCCTGATCTTCCTGACTGCTTTTCCCAGTAGGATTGTCCAAATGAACAACAGATTAGCAATTTGGTTCATACTCCTAAATGGCTGCACACACAGAAACTACGGCAGCATGTGGCATTCAGGATCAAAGGGTCGGTGGCGCTCCTCTGGCAATAAAGCAAAGCCCTCGACGGTTGAAATTTTTAGAGTGGTCAAGTACACACACTTGCAGCAAGGCTCACATGCCTAAACATTGATGTCTACAAACTAGACTCAAGTGAGCTATGTTTTACCCCAAGAAGGGTTTATTGGCAGGACGTTTTTTATCTCGTGCACTACGGGGAAAAATCCCAAGACTCAAGTAAATGGCTGCAATACTATATGCAAGACCCCGCAGATCTGTAATTTGAGTGCATCAAATAGACCTCTGTCTAAGAAATGCATTTTGTTCTTACGTAAGCTTGAAACAGGCAACCTTTCACTTGCTGTCACTCACATGACAAGAGTATTAAATCTGACTGACTCTTCTCTATGTTCTTTAAGTTAATAATATAAGAAAGCAGTATTCCAGAGATAGAATTCATCACAGTGACCCTGCACTACCTGGTCTTCCTGACTGCCGGGAGGTAGGCTTTGTCCAAACCCACAATAGACTAGTAATTTGGTTAAGGTTTGAAAACGGCTGCGTATGCAGAAACTACACGGCAGCAGGTGGCATTCAGGATCAAAGGGTCGGTGGAGCTCCTTTGGCCAGAAATCAAGAAATCTTTAGAGTGGTCTAGTACACACACTTGCAGCACAGGCTCACATGCCTAAACATTGGAGTCTACAAGATAAACTCAACAAAGCTACTCCCTTCATCCCATAATATAAGATGTTTCTGCAAGCTGTTTTAGCTTGCAAAAACGCCTTATATTGTGGGACGCAGGGAGTATCTTAATCCCCAGAAGGGTTTATTGGTAGGATGGTTCGATTTCACCTAGAACGAGGAAAATCCCTAGAATCCTGTAAAGGGCTGCAATACTATATGCAAGAGCATGCAGATATCCATGATTTCAGTGCCTCGAGTAGACCTCTGTCTAAGAGAGTACCTGGGTGATACGCACTTTGTTCATACATAAGCTTAAAACAAGCAACCTGTCACCTGCTGTTACACTCACATGACAACAGTATTAAGCCTGACCAACTCCTTTCTATGTTCTTTAAGTTAGTATAAGGCAGAGGTATTCCAGAGATAGAATTTCATCAGTGACCCTATAGCTTCCTGGTCCTCATGAATGCCTCCTGGTAGGATGTCCAAAATAACAACAGACTAGAAATTTGGTTAAGATTCAAAAATGGCTGAGTATGCAGAAACTACGGCAGCAGGTGGCATTCAGGATCAAAAGCCAAAAGGTTGGTGGTTCTACTCTGGCCAAAAATCAAAGCACTGGACGGTTAATTTTTTTAGAGTGCTGAAGTACACAATTGCAGCACAGGCTCACATGCCTAAACATTGGGGCCTACAAACTACACTCAACAGATCTATGTTTCGAACCAAGAAGGGCTTATTGGCAGGACGGTTTTAACCTCACATACTACGAGGAAAATTCAAAGACTAAAGCAAACTACTGAAATACTACATGCAAGACCACACAGATATCCGTGATTCCGCTACCTCAAATAGATCCCTGTCTAAGAAAGCGCCAACATATGCATCTCGTTCTTACCTACATACGCTCGAAACAAGCAACATGCCACTTGCTGTCACTCTCACAGAACAATTTTTAGAGTGGCCAAGCACACACACTTGCAGCACAGGCTCACAAACCTAAATAAACTCCGTTCCGAATTACTTGTCGCAAGTATGGATGTATCTAGATACATCCATTTTTGCGACGAGTAATTTGGAACGGAGGGAGTAGAAACTAAATTCAACTGAGCTACTTTATGTTTTAAACCAAGAAGGGCTTATTGGCAGGACGGTTTTAACCTCAAACACTAGGAGAAAAAATTCCAGGACTCGAGTAAACTGCAGCAATACTATATGCAAGATCACGTGGGTACCCGTGATTTCAGTACCTCAAGTAGGCCTCTGTCCAATAAATTGCCAAGATATGCAAGAAACTTGTTCTTGCATAAGCTGGAAGCAAGCAACATGTCACTTGCTGTCACAATCACAGAACAAGAGTAATAAACCTGACCAAGTCCTCCTCTCTATGTTGTTTAAGTCAAGAAAGCAGCAGTGATAAACCTGACTAACTCCTGTCTAAGTTCTTGAAGTCAAGAAAGCTGTATCCTCAATCTGGCTCAAGTTGTAAATCAGCAGGGCACTCACAAACTAGAAACTACAGGTTGGGGATCAGATCAGCTCAGGCATGCACGGGTACACTAGAACCAAAATCCCCCAAATTTTAAGCGCCGTGGATAGCAGAGAGACCCCAAGAAGATGGAATCAAAGCGGGGCTGGAGCGAGCAGGGGAGAGGGAGGGCGCGCACGTAGGTGTTGAGCTGCCTGACGAAGGAGGAGAAGTTGTTGTGCTTGAAGTACTTGGGGAGGAGGTCCCGGGCGAACTCGGGCGTGTTCCAGACGATGAAGCTGTTGTTGGCCGGCCCCCACGACACCACGGCGTCCGTGGCCGGGTCGTCCACCATGTCGTACGTCTTCATCAGGAACGGCGGCGGCGCGCCCGCCCCCGCCCCCGCCGCCCCAGGAGGCGCCACCGCCGTCGTCACCGTCGACGCCGCCGCCGCCGCAGCCACCGCAGCAGCAACCCCGCCGTCCATCGCCGTCCCTCGATCCGTACGGCCCCGGCCCCGACCTCGGAGCTCAGCCGCGCCGCCGCGCGGGAACACAACCAGCCGGACTCGAGGGAGCTCCACCGATTCGAGCAGGGGGAGTGGGGGATTTGGGGGCGGGGATTGATTCTAGGTCTTGGGGAGGAGGTGAAAGGTGGGGTCTTTTCCTTTGAAGGAGGGAGGGAGGAGGAGGAAAAGGGGGAGGAAAAGGGGGAGTACCATATTGAAGTGGCATGCTCACTTGAATCCTATAGGATTAGCAATGAGTGTTTGATGACATAGAAAAAACAAAAAAATTGTAAAAGGACGTTGGAGTGAATGTTATATTTGCTATAAAATATAGTATAAAATATTCCATAAGAAATTTTTTTATGGAATTCAATCCTATGAATCAAAGGACCAACATAGGATAAAATCCTAAGGATTTCAATCCTCCAAAAATGCTATAAAATTCATTTGAATCAAAGGAGCCCTTAGTATTTCTGGTAATTTTTAGTGGAAAACATGCACTCATGCGATTCCTATTCATGCTGGCAGGAACATGTAGGTAGATTAGACAGCCGATTTGACATTCTGACATTGAGCTCCAGCTTGAGCGTCTCACTCAAATCTCAAGCAAGATGGGCATGGGAAACCGCCATCGCTTCGAGTATAGGCCAGGGGCCCAGGGCAGTGTCAGCGACCAATTTTGCCATGCTGCCGTGCCGATGGGCCATCCGGCCCACAGACGCCAGTGGCCCGGCCCGCTCCACCTCGCCTAGAGAGAGAATGGCCACGTCGGCAACCTTTCCTCTCCCGCACTTCACACTTGACACCACCCAAAAAAAACCTAGCAGAGCAGCAATGGCGTCCCCGCCGCCGCCGTCCTCCTCCTGCTCCTCGTCCCCGTCTCCCATCCACTGGCCTCAGGCCTGGAGTCCTCGCCGTTCGACGCGGCGCTGGCGGCGCTGCAGGGCCGGATGGGCTACGCGTTCCGGTCCCCGGACCTGCTCCGCCGCGCGATGACGCACGCCTCCTACTCGCGCGAGAACGGCCGGGCGCTGGCCGTGCTCGGCCTGGCCGCGGCGGAGTCGGCCGCCGCGCTGCGGGCCCTC